CCCCCCCCCCCCCCCCCCCCCCCCCCCCCCCCCCCCGCACCGGGCTGCAGGCCGGCCTTCCCGCCTTTGTGCCTTTGTGCCTTCCCGCGGGCCGGCCTTTGCTAAGGCAGCGCTGGGATCCTGGACCTTCTCCCACTGGGCTCCCTGCCTGGGCCAGGGCTGGCACTTTTTTGCTCAGAAGAAATGTGCAGTTTTGAAATGTCAGTTCCCAGAGGGAGCCATGCTGGGAAGAAGGAAGTAGGCCAGAAGTCCAGGTCTGCACCGTGCTGTGAGGGTGGTTTTGTCCAAGATCTGCTCAGCCTGACTACAGGAGGGTAGGAGCAGGGCAGGCCATGGTGCATCACCAGGCCCCTAGGCAGAGGTGGAATTAGGCTGAGTTGCCCTCTCTGTGGGGGTCTGGGAACTCATGCGCTTGAGTTAAAGTGTCGGGCAGACAGACAGATGCCGGCTAGCCCCAGAGCATCTGTACCCAGCATGGCTCATCCCCTCATCCCATTTCCAGACAGATCCAGACACCAGCCTCCATGGTCCCTTGGGGAAGAGAGGGGAGCAGGCTGCATTGCATGTAGGAGAACTAGGTAGAGCCTCCGAATCCTGATTTAGAAATGCATTCCTTATTTTGTCTAGAAATTAATATCAAATGAACTAGCTTGTTTTGACAGGTTTATTTCACATCCTATGAATGTATGTAAATAAGCTGTACATAGGTACATCTACATAAAATATCTTTTAATAACATATCAACATTGGTGTAAATTTGAAATTAAAAAATCTATAAAGCTGGTGTACATATGTTACAATTATGTATATTTTCTTTGGTCCTTCATAAAAATATATTTACTTTGCCAATAAAAAGAAAAAAGAACTCAGTGACTTTATGGCATTCATGTGCTATTTTCTGGTGCTTTGCCAGGAAATGGGGGTGATTCTGAGGGCTGAGTCTCTATGTCTGTGTTTGCAGCATTTAGCGGACCTTAATTTGTACCCAGGAGGACATGAAGACCCCTTTGGGGTTCAGCGTGAGGTGCAGCCATGCAGGCTTCTCAAATCGACCCCACCTCCGTGCCAGCTGCTGGGTTTCTGCTCACCGCAGTTTGCTGGAGGGCACCTTCTCCTCTCTCCACAAACCCAAATCCAGCCCCCATCCCAGTGTCACCTAAGGGAGGCTGGCATAGGCTAGGACAGGCCCACAATGATCAGTGCTACTCTGATGAACTGTTGCAGACCCTCACTCCGTGCTCCCTGAGCAGGCTTCAGGCATCTACTATGCACCCACTGTATGCATGGAGTGCAGAGGAGATTCCCTTTAGGAGATGGCATGTTATTCTCACCTGCCCAGGACATTGTAAGTGGACTGAGTGCTGACTGGTAGAGAGGAGCCTTGGAGGGGGCAGTATAAGCAATGAGGCCACCTCCTCCACCCATCCGAGCTACTCTGAGTTCTGGGGAGACAAGTCCTCCCGAACTCCCCCAGATTTTTGGGATCTCCACCATGTGCTTGCACAGTTGAAGTCTGAATGCTTCCACCTGTCCTGGGTGGGTTGGAAGCTGGGGACAGTGGGAGCCGGAGAATAAGGAGAGGCCTTGAGCTGGCAAAGGGATTCAACTGGGTGGCTGAAGTTGGGGAGGGCAGGCTGGGCTTGGTGGATGCTGTGACAAGGCTGCCCCAAGTTTCCTGTCCACATGAAGTGAGAAGCAAGGACCTTCTAGAGGTGATCCTTTCCCCATAAGCCCAGTGCAAGCACGTCAAGTCTTTTTTAGTGACACCTTTGGAGATGGTGGCAGGTGGTGATGCACCCATGGATTTCCAGCAGAGGGATGTTGGAGCAAAGTATATGTGCACATGCCTGTGTTGTTATCTACCTCTGAAGGTGGAAGCCATTGTTCCCGCTGATGGGAGCTATCTGCCACTGTCATCTTTCCTGTCCGATGGGAGCTGGCAGACATGAAGCTTTCATGTGTGCCCAGCACTACAGCATGGATGATTGGAGAATGGACCTGGTCCTGGGGAAAGGACTTGGCCTTGTGACCTCTGCCCTTTGCCCCTGACCAGACTTACCCTTTGTGGTCAAACACGCTCTGGGGGAATGAGGCATTGATTTCCAGGTACATTGATGTGGGCTTTCTTTATCCACAAACAAGCAATGCAGCCTGGATAAGAGGAACAGTGGAGGTCAAGATGGCCATACTGGAGACGGAATGAGTCAGTGAACCCCTGCGTCTTTGATGCCAGGCACTGACCCAGGACGCTGCTCACCTCATCTCAGTGTGTGTCCCCCAAAGCCCACTGCACTGAGCTTGCAGTCCTCTGGCTGACCTCTTCCAGCCAAGGTGAGGCTGACCATGTGTGCAGGGTGGTCTAGCCCTCACCCTCAGCCTGGACTCATCATCTGATGGTGTGTTGGCCCATGCCCTGGATGGGCAGTACAGCCCAGGTCCCTGCTTTCAGGAGGGGTCAGTTGAGACAGGGCTGGCAGGGGCAGCAAAGCAGAGGGAGTGTAGCCTGAAGACCACTGCCTCTGGATCCTCCCTCCACTTTGGGCAGGTTTATTAAACCTTTCCGAGTTCAGCTTCTTCACCCTGTAGGCTGGACTTGACAGTTCCCAGGTTGCAACATGGTTGGTAAACAGTGAGTGGGAGAGTGAGTGTCACTGAACAACAGCAAAGACCTTTTCGAGGGTGGGAGCTTCCTCTACTCAGATGGAAAAGCTGGGGGAGGCAGGGCCTCTGTTCTCTGCTATGGCCTGCGTCTATGCAAGCGCCACTGTGGTGGGACCTGTGGGGATGCTGAGAGCTCTGTTGAGACTTGTCTCTTACCTCTGAGATACCTCCATGCCACCACCTTTGTCACGCTTTGTGACTTCTATGACTGGAAGAGTAATGTTTGTCACGGCCTGTGAGCCAAGAAAGCAGATGAAAACACTGGCCAGTGTGCCCTGTTTGTAATCGAGAGGAATCTGGATGGTTGCAGAGCAGAAATCTAGCCTTAACAACCTCCTGGCACCCGCCTTGCATAATACCCCTTCCCCAAGGTACACAGTGGGGAAGAAAGTAGCATTTATTGAGCACTGTACCAAGCAGAGTATGGGTTAGCTTACTATAACAAAGAGTCCCCCCCCCCAAACACTGTGGCTTACACAGGTAGAAATTAATTATCTCTATTGGAACGATCTGGAAGTAAGCAGTCTCAGCTCATAGGTGGCTCAGGTGGGACAGCCAGGCTCCTTCTCTCCTGTTGCCCTCCATACCCTAAGTGCTGGTCCAAGATGGCTCACCAGGGTATCAGGTGAGCCCACAGAAAGCAGGCATGGAGCTGCGTGTTCCCTCTCTCTGGGAGGGCATGGGCTGGGATTTGTACAGTTCAGTCCCCTTGTGTGTCTTTGGCCAGAACCTAGTCACATGGCCTCATCCACCAAAAGGAAAGCTGGAAAATGTGGTCTTGATCTGAGAGATCGTGCGCACAACTAAAACACAGGGATACCACTATGGGAGAATGAAGGGGAGCTTGGGATCTGTCTTTCCACTGTAAGCACATCCACCACACCTGGCAGCGTGCCCACCGTGGGCCTTCCTGCATTCCTGGCAGAGCAGCACCTGTGTAGCATGGTGAAAGCATGGGGGGCCTGGTGGGTCTGCTGACCCATGGCCTCATCCACATTCTCAGAGTGAGTCTCACTGACAGGTGTGGGACCAATAGTCAGGCTTTAGGGGACAGTAGGGAGTCACGAGGCAAACCGTGGGAAAGAAGAGCTAAGATGCTTTGGTTGACAAATCAAGGCTGCAAATGGCAGAATCCTGACTCAAATGGACTAAAGTAAACAAAACAAAACCTCATAATGTCATTGCCTACTCCTGGGTAGGGTCCAGAATCCATACCAGTGTTCTCAGGGCTGAGGAACAGAAGGAGAAAGACCCCAGGTCCAGGCTTCTAGGGAATCGTAGTTTTCCTTGTGCTCTGCACATTCAGAATACCCAAGGCCCCAGGCAGTGGGTTCAGGGGAGTTGCTGCTGGGAAAGGGTGTGTTAGTCTGGACAGCAGCTGCTGTGACTAGGGGCTTTGAATGTCACATGAGGGGACCAAGAGGGAGGGAGTCTGTCCTCTCTGTGACAAACACGAAGTCTAAATGGAAAAGATGTCAGATGGAAGAGAGCAGCATTCAGAAGACTCAAAGAAAGGACACACCTCCACCAACCACTGCAGGACCCAGAAAGGCATCTCTGGAAATTTCCTGTTACCATCCATCTCCTGCAAAGCCACAGAGAGAACTCAGGGTGGAACAGAAAAGCAACAGGACAGGGTGCAGAGAAAGACGGAAAGGATGAAGGAAAATCACAAGGAAACAAAGATGATAATGTCAGATTTAAAGCCTGCCTTCGTACAGCATGTGGGGCAGGCAAACTCCATAGATCTTCAGAACAAGTGGGGAAGGAAGGATGGAAATGAGATACCTAGGTATGGAGGGCAGAGAACACACCACCAACAGATGGATGCTGAGGAGTCTGGATCAGATTGCAGAAAAAGAACATATATACTAACACATAGCACATATGATGTACTAATATATAGTACACTATTACATAACATAATCACTAATATTTAACATATATAACATGCTAACACGTAATACACTGATACATATGTAGATAACATACTAATATATAACAACACATAATATACTAATAATCCAAAACATAGAAGTAAATGTGCACATACAACATACACTAATATATGACATATATACTAATATAGTATATAATTCTGACCACGTATACATATAAGTGGCAGACTGGGAAAATATCTTACCCTTGGAGGACAGGAAAGTATAGTGGGTAGGTCTTAGAGGCATTTAGTTGGAATGAGGCCAG